TCTTCCCGCTCTCCAAGGGCTTTGTGAAGAGTGTCCGAGGTGTGCTGCTGCAGTACCGAGCTGCGCTGGCCGCTGCCGGCATCGCTGAGCACACAGAGGACAAGTAAGTGCCTCCTGACCGTTCCTGACCCTCCTCTGCACTGCTTTCTGCTCTTTCCACTTCGCCACTAACTGTTCATCTGCCTCAAACTCTAAAGGAGCATCCATTAGTCAATTTAGGGGTTGGGGAGGGACACTTTAAACCTTCTGTCCTCCTGTCCACAGCTGCACTGTGCTCAAGCACTGCCTTCATTCGTCCCTCTTTTACCTCCATTCTTAGTCTGTGCAGACTCCACAGCCTTCTGCCATAATTTGTGTTCATGAGGAAGTGGCTGCAGGAGACACAGTGAGACTGAGCAGATTTGTGGTTGACCGCCACCTGATGACACTGTCTTTGTTTTCCTTCAGCGTCCCTGCAGATGAGTGTGATGAATAAACCGGGGTGGCACTCGTGCAGTCACGATCTCGTCTTTCCACCAATGCAGGTAAAAATAGGAGGTTGAAGGTGTTTTCTCTCAGCCTCGGCCGGACTGTTGACTTGTGTGGCAGATGTGCGGATGCAAAAAGAAGAGCAAAAGGTGAAGAAAGAGAAATCTGTGCCATGAACCCTCATCCATGCAGCCAAGCTTCCACCACACTGATTAAAAACCACTCGTTTAAATCAGCCTGAGAAATGTACCACAGACTGATGATTGACCGGGCTCCACCGAAACACTGCAAACCCCAGGCTCCCCTGGCTGCTGGGCTGACTGCAGCCGTCTGTAGCACTGCTGATGTTACTGCTGTACCATCCCCCTCCACCAAAAAAACGGACAATTTGTCTTTGGGGAACACTGATTGGTCCGTGTTTTTTTTTTTTTTTTTTTTTTTTTTTTTTAGTAGAAATCCCTGGTCGTATGCTTTCTGCCAAACGTTCTCTGACACACACACACACACAGCCCTGGAGAAAGCACTGAATGTCAGTAAAACTGCCAACAACTGCTTCACCACCTGATCTTCAATGCTCGCCGGTGTTTTCCTTCGCCAACCACTCAAACTGAACCACACCACAAACGTCACATGACAAAGTTTACATAGGAATCACCTCTGCACGTCAAACTGCTGCATCCAGACACTGGGCATTAGTGAGCTACAGTGGCTGCGTGAGAAGGAGTTACAGCTCAGGGTGTGTTCACACGGGTCAGAGTTGGGGTTAACTTAAAACCCTCTCCATTTGGTCCTGGATTGACATCTGGACACCTGGACATCACACAGAATTAACCTTCATCTGACCAAACTGCATAGAGACGTGAACAAAATAACATCGTCCAGGGTGTACCCCGCCGCGATGACGTTTTTTGCCAAAAGAACAAAATGAGAAGACGAGCAAGTGTGAAGTCAAAGGTGCCAAAGAACAAAATGAGAAGACGAGCAAGTCAAAGGTGCGGAGTCAGCAGCGTTGCTTTTTGAAATAACGAGATCTGTCATGGGTATGAAAAAAATTGTCCAATCAGAAGACGGTCTTTCTCCACGTGGTCCTGAAAGTCCTTCTGTGATCCCCGAACACATCAGGACATTCAACCACAACCAAATCAATGTTTGTTTATATCTATAACAAAGAAAACAAACTCCCAAGTGTGAACACACCCTTCGGCGTGGAACTTTTTACCCATGATGCACCTCACTGCTGTTACAGACGCAGCCGAATTACTGCAAGTGAAAAGGAAGGGAAGTAACAAAGCGCATATATTTAGCATCCATTCCATCGTCACATGTCAACATGTTGCCTTACTGTTCTGAATAAAGTGGAACCGTTGTGTACTGAGCTGCTCATGTCATGTTTCAGGCGTCAGGATTCACTGATGGAGGCGAAAAAAACAAAACCACTAAAAACCTGTGTCTGTCTTTATCCTAGAAGGCAGTTCTGTGGTCAGTGTCCCCAGAGAGCGACGGTTAAATCGCAGCCATCAGTGAATTCTGATTCTGACCTTTGTTACATTATACTTGATTAACACGGGAATATAAACAAACATCATTTAACTTCATTATCCTTTATAAATACTTTACATTTTGTCTTCATTCCATTTTGCAGGAAAAGACAAAAACAAAGGGAAGAAAAAAATCACATACAGTTAGAGAGGCATTATAAGACATTAGTTTTCAGGTTTTTCTTTGCGTTGTTTTGTATTTAGTGAATATTAGTGGATAAAAATTAAAGTTAATTTTTCACAATTTCTTTTTTGTAATTTACTGTGAAACAGTGAAACTCATCCTTTGGGTCCAATTGTGCTTCCTGGATGAAGGATATCAGTCCTTGTTTACATCTATCAAAAAATACATAATGCATAGGAGTACTTTAACATTATTATTAATATTATTATTTTTACCATTTTCATTGTTATTATCATTACTACAGGAAAGGTTGAGCCAAAGTTCTTGCTGTATTGGGATGAAGCAGAGCTCTGTGACTTGTTTGTTATTTTACTTGAACAAAGCAGTGTGACGATGCTGACCAGTGTTTCTGAAACTGTTGAGAAACTTAAAAATGAGCCAAGAGCTGCCACATATAGAAAAAAAACACTTGAAAGGAAGGGTGAGGTTGTTTTGTCTTCCATAGTTTTGCTCCTCTTCGTTCTTTATATTCCTGTTAGCGGACGTGGAAATCTAACATTTGTTTCTTGGATTTTACTGCATCATGTGTGGTGCTGCCTTCAAACATATAGAGGAATGATGATGATGATGATGATGATGATGTTGGTGATGATGCTTTCTTCACTGGCTGCTGTAGCTTTGTTTGCTTTATGGTCCTGTAAGTCGTCACCACTCACTCATCCTCAAGCTGCTGTTTTAAAACATACTTGTCGGACGGTCGTCTCACCTTTGTTTTTATGGCTAAGGAAACATTTACAGTAAACGCTTATGATTCTTGATTTTCACATAAGCGGAAAAATTTGAAACTGTCGTCCAAGAAGTGGAAACAAAAACCCGGGAATGGTGTGGAGCACATGATGCTTTGTACAAATTTCTGTGTATGTGTGTAAATGATCCAGATTTGAACCATTAAAATACAAATATTTATGATGATAATGATAATGATTATTATTGATATTGTTATCACCACCATGAGACGTCACTTCCACAGCCAAAGCCTGTCACATGTTGCTTTAAGCCTCTCCAGACTGGACTGTAGGTGGTCTACGTGGTGGTCCCACAGTGGCCTGCTCTCTAGGCTTTATGACGACAGAAGATTTGTAGCCTGTTTCCCTCTGTACAGACGCCTGTGATCATATCAGAGTATATAAATACACACAGTATATATTTAAGTTCCAACAAGTCACATGGATGCTTGGGGCATATATGTACAAAGTGCTGGGTGTGTATTGTACCGATGATGATTTTCATTTTCTTTTTCTTTTTTTAAAGATTCGCTTTTGTTGAGTTATGACGACTGTATAGTGATGTATTAAACTTTGCAAGCAGTACCATGAAACCTGGCGGCTCTTTTGAATGTGTTTCTGAGTGTGTGTGTGTGTTCGTGCCAACACCTTTATGCATATTTTTGCGCCAGAGTCAGACCCAGAATAAGGGTCGGTGGTTAGAAGTCAATTTTGTTACTCCGATATTACTTTATTTTAATATGTAAATTAATTAAATTGTACGTCCCCGGTGGCTCACTGTCTCCCCCTGCTGTTACAGGAGACCACACTACTACTACTGCCTAAGTGTTTTTAGCATTGTGCTAAACGGAGAGCTGTGTCTCAAGGGTAGAACATGATAGCAGTCGCTTTTTCTTTTTTCGACGTGGTAACGTCACTGTGGCGGAAGTGGCGGCGTGTGATGTCAGACGCTGAAAAAGTTTGCTATGTGCCTTAAAAGCCACAGGTGTTTGAGATTTTACGTGATGGCGGATCGACCTGGTCCGGGTGAACGACTCAGATGGAAAGGTACGTGATTTTTCGATTGTTTGTATTCTCTACCGCAGCTTAGACTGCACTAAAAGTGGAAGAAAACGTTTTTAAATGAATTTAACTTTTTCGCGCTAAAACTGATTAGAAAACGGCTAACCCACGGAGACCAGGGAATGTGTTTACTCATTGAATCAAGTTTTAGTCTAGTGTTTGAAGTACCGCTTCACCGTCTTCTACAGTACTTTTCTAAAATGAACACCGTATTAAACGTCTAATCAACAATGTTTGAAATGAACAGATACGTCGAGGATTTCTTCGCACGGAGACCAGGTCGACGTCATCCGGCGTCAAACTGACCTGAAACAGCACAAGGTGAGTTATCTGTGAAGTCAAACCCTGGTTGTTTGTTTTTTGCTTTGTTTGTTTAAATTTAAGGAATTATTTGACAAATATGCTCATACCAAAATGTCAGTACTTAACATGAGTCCTCTTTGGTTTATTTTCCAGATTGATCATCCTGAAGATCTTCAACACAGTAGGGAGCTTCGTTTTTCTTATTTTCTTTGCGGCCGCTGTGTCGCTGTGTTTCCTGCGGCCGCCGTGCTGCTGTGTTGTGCTAGGCCGCTGTGCCACGATATGTGTGTGTGGGTGAAACTTAGCAAAAATAGCACCATACCTTTACAATTTAGGGCTCACAGGCAGTTTAAATAATCACACCAGTACCCAATTTTGATGTCCCGTCGCGGTCCTCATCCACAACCTTGGGCGTTGCGATTTTTTTTTCTACAATTTCTGCGTTGTGATCCTCGTCCACAATTTTGCGCGTGGATTTCCTGCTTCCGCGAGAATTTTGGACGTTTTGGCTGCTGTCATTTTCCCCGGCTGTCTCATTTCCATCCAGAGTGACAACCTGAATTCCAGCTACTTCAAAAAACGTCAAGGACTCTAAAGGATGTTACATTTGTTTGCCTTTGTACTATTATCAATGTATACTGTACATGTAAGTGTACTTGCCTTTGTACTTGTTGATGTATACATGTAAATGTACTTGCCTTTGTACTTGTTAATGTATACATGTAAATGTACTTGTTGATGTATACATGTACCTTTGCTTAGACTATTAGACTTTTTTTCAGTGTATTTTCTTGTCATCGCTGTCTGTGTGCACTTGTCCACCTCTGGTCTTTGTTTGCATGAGCCTCAGTCTGATCACCTTTATCTGCATGTCGTCTTTTGGATGTGTTTAAGGCTGAGTGATTGACAGGTCACCTGGGAGTTGACGTTCACTTATGTTAATTTCATCCACTGGTGTCTAATCGGGGTTAATTGTAACACAGTTCTGTGGTGCAGGGTCTGGGGCTTAGTCTGTGATTGGCTGGATGTGGTAGGTTTCAGTCAGTTAACCAGGTAAGACTGGGCATTTCCTGTCCCAGGTGGGTCAGTGCTGGATCCATGCATGCTCTGGAAATCTGGATTGGAGGGTGTATGTGGCCCAGGTGGACCGACTCCAGATCATCTCAGCCACAGGATGTGTCCAGGTTTGTTCTTCACTTTGACCATTGATGAATGAGTTCACTTTAATCTGTGCACTGACTGATCTGATCTGTGGATCTAGGATTCTACAGACCAGAGCAGACGTTCATTGGATCTGGTCAAACACGACACCTGAACAGGACCAAGGTTAAAAGAAGAAGTGGACTCTCCTCTGAAGATGACCACTAACTAGACAGGTTAGTCTTTCTCTGGGTTATTTATGTTTAAGATTCATTATGTTTCTTACTCTATTCTTCTTCTTCAACAGACCTGAGACTGTGGAGACACAATAATCCCTGTTGTGGTCAGTTTGTTGTGTAGAAAACTTACTAGACTCATTCATGTTTAGGTCCTGGACCCAGACCCACCACAGCTGACGGGCGTTTCCATTTTTTTTTAAATCCCTGCTTGGCTGTATTTGGACTTTTTGTCCCTCATACCGTTGACCTTTAAGATAAGGGTGACCTTTTATGGATAATCTGACATTTTGTCTTTGGTCACTGATGACTTCAACTACACTCTTAATCCCAGAATGTTTGCCTTGCTGTAGTTTTGAATCAGTCAGAGTTTAATGAACTGGATTTCTTTCACACTTCACTTCTGTCCTATTCTCCTTCCACTCCTTCTTGGAGCTTCTGTAAGAAATCCAGTCATGAATTCTTACTGAATGTTGTACCATGATATGCCGCTTCCAAAATCAGACCTGGATCCATCTGCTTTTGTGAAACTGGTTCATCTATGGTACAACGTCATCCTTAAAAAAAAAAAAAACCCAAAACACTATCACTTAGTTAATGTGAAGTACTTTAGCACTGAATCAATGATGTAGTTCATGACAAGCATTCCCCAAAACACTATCACTTATTTAATGTGAAGTCCTTTAGCACTGAATCAATGATGTAGTATTTCATCAGTGTTTGTTTTATTTTTTTATTTTTTTGGTTAAATCAAGGTCAACGGTAGTCCTGTTTTCTAGTTTATGTATTCCCCCATTCCTTTTAGTTATACGTTTATTTAAAATGTCAAAATAAACTACATTAAACTTAACATGCTTGCACTGTCTTACCTTCTTCTAACTCAAGTCCAAGGTATTGAAGTAACTGTTCACTCATCAGCCTTTGTCAAGTGTCCAAAGAAATAGCCACACAATGACATTTGTCGTCATAACTTTTATTTCCAATCAGAACACGCTCTGGTTCAAGCATAGAAAATTACAGACATTTGTCTAAATGGAAAAATAGAACTCTTAGAATAAGGAATGAATCATTCAGTGTGCAAGTAAAGAATTCCCTTCACCGTAAACAAACAAACCAAAGCAACAGCTGGAAAAGCAGCAGCATGAATAGACAAAAAGGCGAATCAGGAGTCAAACACCAGCAGCGTGTTTTCATTTGTCGTCATTAGGTCCTTAAATATTTGATGTAACTGTGACTTCCCTCTGACAGGAGTCGTGCTCTCCTCTGTATTTACTGTTTTGGCATCAACAGGTGTTAACGGACGATTTTTAATGACACGAGTTGTGGTTTTCAGCAGAAAAAATAAAACAGGAAACGCAATTCTTGGTTTTCGGCACCAGGGGGCAGCACAGCCAAGTCACATCAAAATTTCAAGGGCCGCAGCATCCCTCAAAGCAATTTGGACTTCAAATGAAAAACATCACAAAAACTGAAATAGATAAGTATGTGTACAACACATGAAAAATACAAATAATTAACAACTTTAATAACAATTTCAAAAGGTCCTCTGTTGCTATAAAGCTAAAAGATTTCTGCTAAAATAACGGCAAATCATACAAACATACTTCACTGTGGCTCTTTATCATGTGCCACCAATTCTAAACACCAAATTGGTATTCCATTTATACTGTGCAAAGGAAATATCTCTGAAAGACAAATTTTGGTCTTAGTTTCTCTACAGTGTTGTACTAAATCCTGCACGTTAAGGCTCTGTAATCAGACATTCATTTTAAAATTACATCAGTGAATACGCACAAACACAAACACGCCTGTGTGAGTGTTTTTGTGAGGCCTTCACTCTAACAGCATCAAAGAAAACAAAGGCACTCCATTAGTAACTCCAGAAAACACCTGCAGGATTTAACAACTACACCCAAAACTAAAAAACAAACAAACATCATGACCTTCAAGTGACTCATATATTCATTGTGTTAGAGATTAATTCATATAGGGGGCAATATAAATAGTCATTTTAGCGTAATTTAATCTATCAATTTAACAGCTGTAAAGTGGTGTAATCTCCCTGCAAATGCTAAAAATGGTCCAGTAATCTCCCTGCAAATGCTAAAAATGGAGGTCCGTTGTTTACCGTCCAGTAGGGGGCAATAATGCAACTCAAATGTGTCAGCTGCCAATAATAAAACAAAGAAAATGAGACAGTTAAGGCAAGAAGTACAGTACATGCATGTTTACCGACAATATAATCTTAGTCCCATTATCTAAACATTATTATCCCTTAAAGTTAGCGCCATTAGAAATTGAATAATTAAAAAAAAAAACTCACTTAAATGACTGCTTAAAACCTCAGTCTTCATATCCCACATGTGACATGAAGCTCAAGGGTAAAGAAACCAAGGTGATGATCATTATCATCTCCCCACTGGGAGAACAGGCTGTGAGAGGGTGTGTGTGTGTGTGTGTGTGTGTGTGGGTGTGTGTGTAGAGCGCAGATCGATGAAAGCAGCACAGGAAGAATCGTGTGTTCAAATGCAGGGTCAAGGTGAAAAAAGGGGCTGAATGTGTGGAGGCACTTAAACGTGTCCCATGTTTTCTACGTCACTGAGGTGGAAAAACACAAGTGAACAGTTATTCACAAAGAGTGATGGGTTCAAAGGTCACTACACTCAGCATCCAGTGAGGACCAGACAGTAGTTCTAATTATAGTATCAAGTATTAAAGCAGGTCTGCTGTTTGCATCAGTCTCATTTGTGTTTTCTCTGGTGTGGAGATTACAGCCACAGACTGAGCAGTGATGTTCTAGTGAGTTCAAAGCTAAGGTCAAGGCTGCTTCCCTGCCAACACTGATGTGAAGGCAGAAATCTGAGGAACCATTTCAGCTAAATTGTTGTAAGACAGTTGACACAAACTAAGACACTACACTTTATTTAATTTGAAGACGGTGAGGAAATTATGTAGTACAACTGGAGTTGTACTTTAGGTTATACTTCAGTTTGATCCTATTTGAAGGAAAAGACCTTTCAGATTTGGTCATATATATATATGTATATATATGTATATATATGTATATATATATATATGTATATATGTATATGTAGTTATATATACATATATGTATATGTATATATACAGTATGTATATGTATATATGTGTATATATATGTATATGTAGTTATATATACATATATGTATATATATATGTATATATATATATGTATATATATATATTTGAGGTCTGTTAAGGCCAGTATGTTTGTTTGATATCTCTCCAATCTTGGTCCCTGGTCTTTGTCTGCCTCCTAACTTGCTCCAAATATCATTACAAAGGCTGTGCAACACAAGTGATGTAAAAGTAACTCTGTTTTCCTCAGTTTATTTTGCTCCATCCTGTTCAAACCTCTGTCCATTTACAGATTGACCAATGTTGAGTTGGCAGAGGTCAGGATAAGCTGTTCAGTGACTTGTAAGGAATGTGTGATGTTGGGTTTCTGTCAGAGCTGGGAAAAAAAAATTAGAGAAAGCTGTAGCCAATAATCTTAACATCAAAGGAAGCATTAGTTGCAGTGCGTTTCTTGGGATTCTTCTTACTTTTGCAAGGCAACACATCACGCCACACATAGATCGTGAATAAGAAATGGTCGAGTTCCTCTGGACAGAGTTGTCATCCAAGACAACTGAATTGTTAATGAGACACTGACTCTACAGCAGTTTTTTCAAGAAACAGTCACTGAGCCTGATCCAAGAAGAAACAACTCACACCCTCACTGCATTCACACAAGCTTTATCTCACGCACACACACACACACACACAGATAGTGCAAAGGAGCTGATTTGTCATATTTTTCCATTTCGTGATTCAAGATTTTAGGTCAGACTCAGGTCAGAGAAGACACCGTGTCTCAGTGACAGTGACGTGTCGTAGACGCCTCCATCATAATGAGATGATGAAATATAGTCAACCTGACGTCTACATCTAGAACAGTACACTCTGAAGGCTGAAGACGAGGAGACTCCAGAGTGGCGTTACATTCAGAACGGCTCTAAATACGTTTTTCTGCATTTGTCATCCTATTTGATTATATAACTTGATTCAAATTTCAATGTTTGAAGCAGAATGTCGTGTCAGTGAGTGCTGTTTTGGAAGAGATCACAGATAAAAACAGTTACACAGAGAGCAGCTGTGCATTTAAAATTTTGGAAGAGATCACAGATAAAAACAGATACACAGAGAGCAGCTGTGCAATTCAAAAAAAAGGTAGTGAGAACCAGCAGGTTCTACACCGTCGGTCACCACTTTCCTTCTCACATCAAAACCTCTAGGACTCCACAAAAACTTTACCTGAAACGTCACAGTAGTTGGAGGAAAGACGTTAGTGTGTGTGCAGCGCTGAGAGGCTGACACCTGCGTCCTTCACACCCGTACCTGTTACACTCCCGGTGTGGAGTGTAACTTTTAAACAATGCCCGCTTAGCAGCAAAATTAAAGCTGAGGATGGTTGTTTATCCGACGCATCCAGTGATTAGTCTGGCCAGACCTCGGTGCACTTCTGCCTGCACCGGTCCATACTCCACCACCTCTCCATCCACTGTTATTATCCCTTTGGGGGAGTGCGGCTCCAGCCTGAGCGCCCGCACCTTGGTGTACACCAGATGCTGACAGTTCGTAGACAGAAGCGCTCCTTTCTCCATAGCCAGGAAGAGGCGCAGCAGAGCGCTGCGTGATATTCCAGCTCTGACGTAGTAAAGGTGGATGACGCCCTCATCCACGGTGGCGTCTGGAGCCGTCACCATGTCCTCCCCCAGGTGGGACTGGTACATGGCCAGGACGAGGACAAACTGTTCCTCCTGGACCACCTCCCAGTCACTGGGCAGCGGCTGGTCCAGGGGGAGAAGCAAAGAGTCGGGGGGGCCGGGGGCAGCTGTGGTGGCATTTGCGTGAGGTGGGTTCTCTGTCCTATGGACCTGGTGGGAGTTGTTGGAGTGACAGGAGTTGTGGAAGCTGTTCTTACTGGGTGTGTCTGTCACCTGGTTCAGCGCAGGAGGTGGAGTGGTGGAGGAGGTCTGATTGTTACAGTGCAGCGTTGGGTCGTTTTTCACTTTCCTCTCACTGTTGCAGTCTTTGGTGCAGGGCAGGTAAGCCAGCTTACCCTTGTAGATGCGAAGAGAAGCCAATCTCACCAACGTCCCCATGGTGAACCTGGCGGCTCCCGCGTGCCGGTACTTTTCACTCTCAATGTCCACATCTGCTACAAAGCCCCAAGCCAGAGAGAGGAAGGAGAACATGCGGGGAGTGGAGGAGACATGGATGGAGACCAGGTCCATAGGAGACACCAGTCCTTTACAGAGCAGGAACCCACAGCTGATCAGGAGGTCCTCACCAAACACTGGAGATCCTCTGGAGAAGGAGGGAGAGGAGAGTGGTAAATGATGTCACCTAAGCTTCACTGAACTACAATGTCTTCATAGACATGGTCCAAAATGGATGATAAAATCCTTATGTTTTTACTTATTGATTCCAGGCTGTGAAATTCCAGTGTAGCAGCAGCATTAAATAAAAAGATGATAAAAAGTCATAATAAGAAGCACAACCTACAAACATTAAACCAGTCGCCCTGACCGGGGTTTGATCCCTGACTGTCCACCCTGGTCTTCAGCACCGTTGGCAGAGGCTTTGCCCCTGAGCTATATTGCCATGGAGAATGAGTTGTGAAGAACTTTTACTGACTAGTGAATCTACTCCATGTCCTTCACAAGAAAACAGAATATCTCACAAAGTGTCATAATAATCTTGGAAGGCCAGGATTTGAACCCCAGTCTCCTGCGCCATTGTCAGAGGTGGTATCCACTGAGCTATACTGCCATGTACTCTAATCCCTGAGGAACTTGTACTGGTGGTTTAAACTAGTCCATGGGCTTCACAAAAAAAAAAACCAACGTATTACTTCTACTAATACTAATAATCATTAATATTATAATTATTACTATTTATAATAAAATTAATAATAATAATAATTACCGCTATTATTAGTAGTAGTAATGATAATAAGAATTAAAAAGAGAAAAACTCTAAATAAACGAATTTTAAAATTGAAGAAAGGCTCTGGTAAAGAGCAGTGACACTTTCAGATTCACTTCTGTCAGACTGAGCAGAGCCGGGTCCAAGGATCTGAGGATGCACATAGACTGAAAGGAAACAAACAGTTCCACCTGGAGGTGGGAGCTAGTGTTTGTAAAGTAATCCTGAAAAATCAATTCCAAAATTAAATGGCAAACCTTGAAGGAAGTCATAAATCACGTTCATGTACGAAACAACCAGGATCTGTTCAAACCAAAAACGTCACGCTCCGTCTTCACTGTCGTAGTCAGGTGCTGAATGACTGAACGGTTTGTCCAGGAGATAATGTGTCCCACGACATTCACTGATTAAATCTCTGACGGAGTGAAACCTTAGTTCAGGGAGGTCATGTCAGGTCAGTGTGTGTCCAGTCACATCAGCTGATTGCTCAGCTGACCCCTGTCCATTCATTCTATTGGAAAACCTCACATTTGTGTGGCCCACTTATCCTGCCCAGGTCTCTCTACTCCTCCTGCTACACAGAACATCCTTTTCACAGCCCACTTGTGTCTGATCCGTTCATGACATATGTGCTGTGAGTCAATGACAAGCGGTCAATACTGAGGTCAGCTCCCTCTGCTCAGGCTTTAACACTGATGCACAGAGAAGAGAGGAAGAAACTGGGACAGATGCTGTGACTACGACAACGCCACATAAATCCAATAAGAAGCAGGAACGTCACACCAAATAATTAGCCACAGTCAAACACAGATATTTTGGATTATGAAGGCATCTACAATAGAATACAACGACCAAATGTTGAATTTAAATTCATCCGTCCTCCAGAACAAAAGATGAAACCGTGGACTCTTACTGTAGAGGACATCAGGTTAACTAATAATACCAGAAGAAGAGAGGACATGGGGTAACGGACAGGGACAGCCCCTTTGGGCTGGGGGGCAGGATTGGGTAAAAAGGGGTGGATTCACTAAAGCTAGAGGCGCAGAGACACATGTGGGAGGAGGACCAACTCATGGACCATCAGACATGACAAGCGGGGCCAGACAACAAAGACAACCCCATCTGGGAGAATGGAGACAGGGGTGAAGGGTCATTATGATGACACATGGACACGGACACACACAAACTCTCTCTCTCTCTCTCTCACTCACACACAAACGTACACATCTGCTGTTACCACCAACGGCCAATTACAACGACAACTGTGATTCAGTGGAGTTCAGTGGCTCTAGATCAGGCATGGGAAAACTATGGCCTGGGGACCAGGTGTGGCCCGTTTGGCTTTTTAATCCGGCCCGCCAAACTTGTCTAAATTATGTTACTGATTTCTGTCATTGCACTTCTGCCTTTTCCCTGCAGTGCCTGCATTTCCCCAGTTGACGGTGTAGAAAGGGCTAAAAGTGTTTGAGCAGGTATGGATGACTTTTACATGTCAACGCTCCATCTATCTGCTCCTGACCCGGCCCCCTGTCACATTTAAGGACCCATTGTGGCCCATGGGTCAAAACTCTTGCCTACGACTGATCTAGATACTGTATCTTTAGTCATTCATTGAAACGGATCACAGAGAAACTTCAAATCTATCTATCTATCTATCATTCATTGAAACGGATCACAGAGAAACAAATCTATGTATCTACTGGATCAAGTGTCTTTGTTGTTGTACTGGTAGATTTCTGTCTTACCGTATAAGCTAATCCTAGTTAAGCTCATAGATTTGATTTGTTTCTTAAACTCCAGGACTGACTCACATCCAGTTGTCAACGCACATCAGCGGCCATGTTTCAGCTCCTGCTCATTATCACTGTGTGTAGAAACACATTAGTGCCAGGCTCAGCCGTTACACAATAACACAAACAGTCTAGCTGTCACTTGTTTGATCTACGCAGTGAACCCGTCATTCATCTGGGAATAAAAACACAATGACACTGAGGACAGGGCCAGTGCAGGGGAGTCGTCATCATACACACACAGACAGAGTGTGAGAGACATATTTTCTGGATGGCCCGTGAGTGTGAGAGGAGAGGAGAACAATACAGAGTCTGGTCTCTTCCTCTTCTTTGTTGCTGCCGCTCTGGCAGGAAGACTATTGTTGTAGGAGAAGCTGAGTGGCAAATGGATGAGAGGAGAAGGATGGTGTTGTTTGTACAGACAGGACACAAACTTGCATTTACTTCATTAATTTGGCCTTGATTTATTCAGGAGTCCCACTGAGAAAACAAGAGTCGACTCGAGGATTAAAAATAATTCCATGAATAAAAGATTCAGACGGAGAGAGAAAAGACGCAATCTTAGCTCAGCGTGCATCGCAAACAACAGGAGTCGTCTGAAAAGTTCTGGAGAGTTTCACTGTTAGATTTGGAGAGGAAATGGAAACAGTGCCACAGACAGACGTGGAAAATACCTTCCTTCAACACCAGGTCATAAAGAGCTGCTGGAAATAACCTTTCATAACTAGGCGTATTAATCAATCTCTCAGCAGGTCAGTAAAACAACTTCTAATACAATTTATTTTAACACAAATGTTTAATTGTAAAGAACATACAATTAAACATGGTATTTAGATTACTTATTAATTACCGCCAGTATTAGTACAATGCAACTAAAAATATTTTCTAATTTATTTTCTAAAATTCTCAATTAGTTTTTAGTCACGTCGTGATGGTACATACCATAACTAAAGTCTAAAAGATAGTTTTGCCTCAGTAAACACTAAGACCACCTCCTATTTCTGTACTTTTATCCACTGGGACACAAGCTGGACCAAAAATGTAAACCTTTGAACATTTGCCAATAAATCACATGACCACACCGACCAATAATATACATCTTTAAATAAATTCACACAGATGGGTTCAGCTGCATGTGTATACTTGGTGAACTATATTTGTGGGGACCGAGATTAGTGTTGTTATGGGGACACTTTGTCCTAGTGGGGACATTATGCAGGACCCCAGAAGATGAGAGGACACTAAGGTCTAAGAATTTGTTTTAATTTGTTTTATTTGTAAGAATTAGTTTTAAGGATTGGAATTACTGTCAGATTAGACGAACAGTAGAGCAAGAACTAGGATTAATCCTATATAGATTAGACGAACAGTAGAGCAAGAACTAGGATTGATCCTATATTTGTAAGGGTTAACTTTAACTTTCTTGAACTCCTTATGTATAGTAGGTACATTTTTCTCAGCTGCTTGTTTCACCTCTTCTCCATTAAATATTTTATTATGTCAATACGACGTAACCTTATAAAACCAAAGGGAAGATAAAGTGAAATAAAGACGGCTCATATAAGTATACATTTCATCTGATTGACAGTTAAAGGATCACATGAGTGGTGATTACAGCTGTCACTTGTCATCAGTTTTCTTCTAAATGGGATCCCTATTTATACAATTTATTCAATTTACTGACAACATCCTGAATGAGGTAATTGACACTGACATCTAGTCAATGAATATAAATCAAATCTGAAACTAGATCATTCTGGGTTGTTTTTTTTTTTTGCTCTGGGTGTTGTCCAAAACTATAGTTTTTACCAGTGCTTTGTATGTCACTTACCCAGAATAGTGATGTATCGATGCAGCCAAAGCGTTTCCTGATCCTCCAGGAAGAATTCCCACAGGGATGCGAACGGCCTCCTCCCAGTCTGGTCTCGTCAGCAGACCATTTATAACCTAATGAACAGAGTGCAGCCAGATATTTGACTGTGTTAAGGGGAATTTATTTTTTGTAAGCTTTTCTTACATGCTAAGGCAGTGGCATTTCTATTCATACAGTTCCTACAGAACGGTAAAGTGTTCTGAATAACCATAAACAATGCCGCCGGGCAGCCTGATGATCAAGGATCCTCAGAAAATATATATTCTAGGATTTTTGTTATTTATATATTTTGTAGGATTCATATTTTAATCCTTGAGTTCAATTTATCTCTGGTCTTCTAAACCGAGAGCCACATTTCTTAATTTTAGTTTTTGTGCTTCTGTTTAAATGATCCTGTCCGTTACTGTTTGTTTCCATGGTCTGTGAGCAGCACTCTGTAAAAGACGTTGGTGATATAATGTTGCCCAGACTTCCAGAGTCAGGTTTTTATACAGTGATTGACTGTACTTCAACATCAACAACATCTCAGGTCATCACTGCGTCTCTACCTCGTACAGAAGTCCATCTCCTGACATGATGACCATGGCGTCCCACTGCGACAGGTCGGCCTCTCTCACCAGCTCTCGGGCGTGGTTCTGGTGCTCTGTCCAACAGACACACAAACAGGTGGAGTGAGTGTGTGTTAAGGGCAGGTGTGTCTTTCCTTTCTGAATAAATCTGTCAGAGAGAATTTGTGCTGTCAGCTTTCTCTGGCCTCATTGAGGTCAAAGGTCATGGTCAGTTTTATTTCATTGCCATGTCTCAACAGGCAAATGACACCTGACACGCTGACAAATTTAAAAGTGTCGTTTACATCCTGTTCCAAATCCAGGCCCTGCTCCTCAAATATATGTTGCGGTTCAAGTTCCATCCTGCCTCAAAAACAAACGACATTTTCTTGTTCTTGACTTAGAGCCAGATTTTTGACCTTTTTATTTTGCTGACAGACATCAAACCATTGTTTTCTATGTTCGTGTTCGTTAAAAACTCACAATTAGCACTGTTATTCATTTGTGAATTTTGTTTTGGTTTTTGTCTTTTGCCGTTTTTTTCCAACTTCACCAACATGAATGGACCAGGAATGTGAGAGTAACCTGTCTTTTCTATCTTAACCATTTTTTTTTACTCTGTACAGACAATACTTCGTTTGTGTTCACATAACTGAAAAAAAAACAAAAAAAACAGCAGTGTCACCCCATCACACACACACACGCAAAAAAGACTTCCCTCTGGAGAGGGATCTGTTTTCTCAGCCTCTCTTCTTACCTTTCCTTCACCGGGCTCCGTAAGATAAAGTAATCAATGCCTCCTTATCTGTCCAGTCAGACCACTGTTTAAGAGCAGCTTCAGTTTAGCATCTTCCCTGTCAGACATATGCCTAATAGTAAAATGAAGCCATGTATTTGAACTGACTCTGAGCCTGTTCAGATCAGGATGCAGGAACTAATCCATCCTACCAAACAAACAATATCTATACTAAAATTAACATGTTGAGCTTTTTCTAATTATAATTAAAAAAACGATATAATCACAGGATTATTTGGAATGTCTAGAATTTCTGCAGTGACAGAAACCACGCTGCAAACTGATGTGGTTTGAATGTTCTCTAAATGCATTTAATAATGAAGAAGGACTCACTTACGCTGTCAAAAGCTTTTACACCTGACAGTTTTTTGTTGTTTTTTGTTTCTTAATTTGACAGGACACAGAGGTGTTTATGTCAACAAAGTTGTTAAGACATTAATGAGACTGCTCATTCATTTAAAGAAAATATCCTAAGACCAGTATGGACAGGAGTCATCACTGAGTCAGAATGGCCTCAATTTGCTCAATTAATGCAGGGACTAAAATACAGGTCCATTCATAGAGACAGAAGGACCAAATCATAGTCTTAGTCTGAGATGAGTTCAAGACCAGGACACCAAACTGTCCAAAAAGTGTTTCTCTATATAAATGATAAGAGATCATATTCATAACATAAACTTTTGTTTGGTGTTGCACCATGGGACTTGTCATTCATGTAACGGATTACAGTTTAGGGTCACAAGTTTGGTACAACTCTACACATGTCAAAAACCCTGGGCCCTGCTGCTGTCTTTTTTTTTATTTAAATAATCCCTGGGAAAAATACAACAACATTTTTATTTGACAGTTGTCTTTTCAGACACCGTGTGTGTGTGTGTGTGTGTGTGTTAGAGGAAACTGAATTGTTCCTCCTGGTAAAAACAGACCCAATCACATCGCACTAAAATCAATTGTGCATCTCGTTCTGCTCCAGATCTTCCTTCTTTACTGTAATAGACACTTTGCTGCCAGATGCACCCTGGGAAATCAGAGTGCTCTTGGACGCAGCTGAAATGCTCATTTTGTCGCATCGAGGTGATGAATGTCAACACAGAGGTGCTGATGGAGGGATAGTTACGCTTCTTTAAAAAATATCTACAGTAGCCAGAGTAATAAACTGTGGTTTAAAGTTTAAGAAATGCATGTTTTAACAAAACTGAATGTTTCATGTAAGTGAGTTTGATTGCTCTGAGTCGCCTCTTTACACCGACAAAAACGGAGCCAGGCTGTGTTCGTGACTGAAACTCTGCGTGCTTTGTTTTTACTGTTGATTGTCGAATCGTTAAATTAGCTGCTGTTGGTTTTTCCTCTTCCTGTATCTATATTTCCAACCTTTTATTCTCTGTCTGTCCTCCGTCCTGATAGAGCAACCCCTAGCGTCTACCCGTGTGAAATTATACATTTTAATGTATAAGTCACAAACCAAGCCAAAGGATGAACCTAACCCTAACCCTAACCCAAAAAAAAAAGTGCTACTTATAGTCCGCAAAATATGGTACTCATCGTTTTTAATTGATGATATCTTAAACCCAGGACACGGAGAAAAGTTCTGTTGGCATGATTTTCACGTTTTCAGCACAACAGTAAAGACATTTCTCTTCTGTGTTTTTATTTGCCTTCTGGCCATGAGTCTTTTTTTTTCTCTCTGCCCTCTTTTCTGTCTGCTGTTTGACACAGATATATGTGAACAAACCCAGATGGAGTTTCATTCTCAGAAATACCAAAGAAGGGAGGAAAGAAAGAACCATGGAGTTCACACTGACCACAGCCATGACTCTGGACACATCACAGGATTATATCACAACAAATCCTGTACAGTGAGGATTTTGTGTCAACGCGTGTGTGTGTGTGTTTCCATGGGTTGTGTCTTTACATTTATTAATGGATATTCTATGCATGAGAGGCGGTTGATGAGTATCAGGATGATGTGTGACAGCAGGAGCATGAACAGAGAGAGAGGGAAAACATGTCAGGGACGTGTGTTAATCTGTTTGGGTTTTTTATATCTTTTTCTTGTCCTTCTGTGCCGTGGCCTCATTGTGTGAGAGTGTTTGTGTGATAACTGTCTGCACAAACAATAATTTGTGATCCTGCGATTCAAATTACAAGTTTCAGCCTTGGCTTTTGTAATAGAAATATGTTTTGCACTTGTGTGGTAAAAAAACCCACAATAGTCTGTGTGGAACAGAGAGACGTTTCTGCAGCTCACCAGTGATAATCAGAGTGTGCTGGACGCCGGCCTCGTTCAGCATCTGTTGGATGTGGCGGTTGTACAGAGAAAGCGCCTGTCCTTTGCCGCTCTGTGGATTCACCAGCAGCATCATCCTGCAGGGACGAGGAAGTTCATTTGTCCGAACTCCTGACAGAGAAGAGAAGAACAGCTGATGGTTACAAGTAGTCAGGAGTAGTCATTCAGAAGACTTTAATTACTGTAAAAACCTGAACACAGACTCATTGAAATTATTATCATAATTATCATTTCTTTAGTCCATCAATGTCATGACTAATGTGTTTGTCATCTGGTAGGTGAAGAGGAACTAGTTTTGAATGTTGATCTTTGTTTCTTAAATATTTTTTTCCCACTGGAGACCATGGATAAACAGCTTCACTCCACAGTAGAGCCATTAATACATACAGTTTTCTCAACTGCTATAATAAGACGTCATTCTTCACTGTGAACTGACAAGTCAGAATAGTGTGGAAAATATGTCTGTGTTTACCTTAACCCTGTAAAGACTGACATTTGAAAAACACCCAGAAAATTCTACATTTTTGGAACTGGGATTTTCATTAACATAACTTTTTTTTTTTGGAAAATGCCACAGAGCTTTGTTTATGAGAGGTTTTTTGTATATTGTTGTGCAACAACAATGTTCTTTTTAGAAATAAAAAAAGATTCTCTCTGAATCTTGTGTTGCAAAGTAACTGGCTTTAAAACTGCTTACGTTTGTCCACAAGCCAAACAACTAACAACTAACAACTAACTGCCACAACAGAAAATGTCTAATTCTGTCAACTTCTGGATTGCACCAAACATTTCTGTTTCTGATAGAAACCAGTGGGATACTGACTGTGAGTGAGGGGGTTCCTGGTCCAAGCACTGACCTTGTGTCAGTAGTTTTTTCTAAACAATGTATCAAACCTTGTAATACAGATAAATTGCTACTGTAAGAATAACTTTTTATACAATTTCTTTTTTTTTTGATAAATGGTATGAACAGTAATTTTATATGTGCATGAAACCTCTTGACGATTCTCCGTGCACGATGAATCTTCAACTCAACACACGGACATAAACACTACATATAAAACCCCTTAAAAGAACCCTGCAGTGATATTCCTCCTGCAGAGGTTGGTTTTGACGTCCGGTCTGTGAAACCAGAGAAAGAGGCCAATCATCCAAACCAGTCTGACAGCTTATCAATGAGTAACCATAGGCATGAACATGTGATGCACCGATGCTGCTGGGATAAGCTTCTCTAAC